ACTGGCTTAATGAAGTATGGTATATCCATGAGCAGGATACTTGCGCAGCCATTAAAAATGAAGCTGTAGAAGAAGATTTAATGAACTAGAAAAGATTTACACTATGACAAATGGAAAAGGTAGGCAACCAAACATTTAGGTTATAATCTTGGCTTTGTCAAAAAATACGTTTTACCAAAAAATATATATTCATAAATAAAAATCCTAGAACATATACATTAGTGTTTCTTCCTGAGTGGTGAGACACACCACGTTTTCTACCCTGTGCTTTTCTATATTTTCTCAACTTTATACCATGACTCTGAACTACATTTTCTAATCAGAACAGTTAAAAATAACTGTACCCTAGAAAAGTGCTCTCTGATAGCGATATAATGGAAATCATGCATGTAATTTTAATTAAAAATAAAAAGAATCAGGTGAGATTATTTTTAATAATATATTTTATTTAACCTAATATGTTCAATATTACCATTTCAACATGTAATCAATAAAAATTAAAATATTAAAAATTAAAATACTGATGAAACTTTTTAACACTTCTTTTTATTTATACAGAGTCTTTGGGTATGGATCTATGTTACACCTATAGCAGATCTCCGTTCGGGCCAGCCTCATCTCAAGGGCAATAGCCACATGTGGCTGGCAAGTACTGAATTGGTCAGCATCACCTGAGAGTGTGCTAAGTAATAGGTAGGGCAACAATCAGGTAGCTCAGAAGAGGACAACACCTCACATGAGGATTGGAAAATGTTTCATGAAAGAGGCTTTGGCATTGGGCTTTGAAGAATATGAATAATACCACCAATTACCACGATACTGATAATACCTAACATTTATTTTGTGCTTGCCGTATGCCCATCACTGTGCTAACCACTAGGGGTCAGTAGAGAGGAGGAAACAGACTTCCCGAAGAGGGAGACCACCAGCAGTAGCAAAAGCAGAGACCTTGGGGGGGAGGTTAGTACACTTGTAAGCATGGGGGGTGAGGGTGGGGTTGGGAGGGGTTGGAACAATTCAGCATTGGACTCTTAGGAAAGTAGTAGGAGAAAAAACAAAAGGTTAAAAGCCCCTTGAATGTTAAGGGAGGAACTTCATACCTAGTTCACTGAGAAAATGTGGTAATCGTAACACAAAACACTCACTAAGCACCCATTTTACTGATGAGGAAACTGAGGCATAGGGAGGTGAGGAAATTTCCAAAGGTCACACAATTTGTAACCATGTTTGGCAGAGCCTGGATTCCAACCCAAGCATTTCTGGCTCCTAAGTCTACACCTCAACTGCTCACAATGACCACAAATTTTCAAACCAGAGACCTGAATTTGCATTCCACACTCTTCATTCTTTCACTGGGAATTGAATCAGTTCCCTGAACAACTAGGAGCTTCAGCTTCCTCCCCCATGAAAATGGGGTATGTCCTGCCAAACTAAAGTGTCATTGCATGAATGTAATGACACTGGGCATGGAAAGCACCAATTATACTGTCTGGCACAGAGTAGATGCCAATAAAGGCTGGTTGCCCTGCAAAATGCCATGGGGAGCCATTTCAGGCTTTTAGGCAGGGGAATGGAATGACTGGACTTACACTTCAGGAAGATTTAAGCTGGAAATACCTGTCTTCCTTGATTACTTGCCCGGATGGATTGGAGCTGGGAGAGATGTGTTAGGAAGATATTGCAGTAGTCCAGATAAGAGGTAACGAGGGCCTGTGCTGGGACAGTGGCAGGGAGATTGCAGTCGTATTATCTAACTGTAGGATATTAGAACCAAAACAGGCCCTATGGAGAACAGAGTCCAGACTTAAATGACTTACCCAAGGATAAATCATGGGATTGGTAAAGTTCATCTAGTTCTCTCATTCACTGTTCTTTCCTTCACTCAGGCAGTGCTGATGTTAGAGATCAACACCAAAATTTTCAACTCTTAATAAAAATAACAAAATGTCTCAGTTTTGTCTAAATCGTATACTTTCTACTCTTTGATAGCATCCATGGACAATCTCATGTAATCCTATCAATGGCAACTCTCCCCACTCCTAAAGGAAGGTAGGTAGACTGGAGTCAGAACAATTTCCACATTACAGATAGGTAAACCGAGGCACAGAGGAAGATGAATCTTATTTCTGGCTCATATTCTCTCATATTCACTTCTAAATTAGTTTTTTTTTAATTAAAGTTTGTTTTGGCTTTGAAGTGTTACTAAAATGTTGATACAGGGATGACGTTCATAAAATTTCATGTGAACAGAATGTCATGGTAACTGAAGGGCTTGCATCTTTTAAGATTATTCAAATTTTAAAGGTTAATGAGTACAGTTGACTTGAAATCATGTGTAAAGGAAGACGATTATGTGATCAACGGGAAATTGGATCTCCGTAGTTTTGTCTTAAATATAGTGAATGAAGGTATACCTTGCTAAGAAAACGTGTTGAGATGCTCTCTCTTTCCATCTCCCATCTGGAGCGGAGAAAAGAAACCAATGTTTAGAAAATTCGCTTTCCTGACTACGAAGAATGGTAAACTCTACCACAGGAGGGCGCAGGGAAGGGCAGATGCTTTTTCAGATTATCGACACTAGGTGGCGCCGCTCTGCTAGTTTTCTTAATGCCTGTTTTTAATTTCTTATTTTTTTTATTCCTTTGTTTAGTAGCAATGTTAATGGAGTAGCTTAAGTCCTGTAAAGAAGCATTTTTATTTTTCTATTATTTTCTTAATATGTCTGGGTCTGTCATATATAAGTATATGATTATATAATATACTTATATAAGTATGCTAGGGGAAGGAAAACTATTTTCTGTACAGTGTACAGATTAGTTATATTTTGCTCTTGCATTAATTTTCAGGACATTCAAGTATGGGTCCAAATTGAGTTTTCCTTTGTGGTCTGTCATTGTCTCAGAGTCTTCAGAGTTTTTTTGGAGATTTCACTTTAGTTTGATTTCAAAAGGGACATAATTCTGAACCACATCAGAGCTACTAAAATGTAACATAACTTAAATACTGGAAAGAAAAATAGGTATCAGTAAAGGAATGGAAAATGAATTCTCCCATTTGGGTTTATGTAAAAAGGAATTCTCCAGCATTACCTAGTCAATTAGTTGTGTTGTGCCAGTCTTTGGAGTTCAAATTCCTAACTACAAAAATAAGAAATTCCTCTAAACATCCTCCACGATCTCTTTCAAGTTGGAACACCTATGACCTTATGAGTTTGTCAATATAGCTGTGCCACCTGCCTGCCCCAAACACCATTCTTGAACCTGTATGCATAAGCTATATTGCTAAAAAAAAAAATCTGGATAATTTTCTGTGGCACAACAATGTATGCAGTCATGATCCCCAGCTAGCTTTTCAACCTACGTTACTAGAGTGGAATTGCTGTAAGAATGACGTCGGCCCACAGAGGAGTAAGCTGACCGCTCTGTAGAATCACATCTCGGGACGAACTGGTTCAGTATGATGAATCTGCCTATCGAGAGACTTTGAATCCCACACTGGCTCTATCCCTTACTGGCTGGGAGAGGCTAAACCAGCAATGAGTTAGTAGGCATTGAGCTCAGTGCTAGTCACCACTGTGGACAGGTGGCGAAGTAAAAGGCCAGGCATGGTGTGGCTCACAATCCAGGGGTGGGGCACAAGTTGTCTGTTATTGGGGAGTTAGTAATTGTGGGGAATAAGTACCAAATAAGATCAGGTCTGTGCTCTGAACCCTGGTTTGGGCCTAAACCCTGCCCAAAATTTGCCCATGGTCGTCATCCTGAGAAGTGATACTAAGTCACCGCTGGGGACTGGGTGGGTGTAGGGAAATCAGCCAAGTTGCGGTGGGGAAGAGCAAGGAAGGGCTAGAGAGAGATAGTAATGAAGTTGCTTAACATTCTCTGCCACCTGGTAGCAAATGTTAGACGTCATGATCAAAGGGATAATATTTTCTATGAAATAAAAGAAAGTGACATAGACATAAATGTATGAGGACCCCACAGACCTTCAGCAGCCTGGAAGCTAGTGACATCTGGAAGTCTGCAAGGTAGTAGGCAGAAAGGGAGTAAAACTCCTTGGGCCACACCATCCTTGATGATGTCCACTGCGGTTGGTAAAACCTCCAGTGTGAGCTCATCAAACCAAGTGGTGCATATGGAACCCTTTCAGATGCCATTGTTGGCAATATGGGGCTCTTTTCTAAACCCTTATAAATATAGACAGACACTTGTGCATTTTTAGGTGTGCTATGCCAACCACTCATCAAGACAGAGTGGCTAAATGAGTTGCTAAAGGCCATGAAACATGTTCATGTTACAAAAAAATAGGGCAAATTTGGAATCATTTTATACTTGATGTCATATAGGCTTTGGAGCATACCATATGAACAAATTTTCTCACTTGTGTAGAGCTACTTACTTGAGGAAATGGCTGAATCTAGTAAAAATAGAGTAGGCATGGGCCTCCCCGAACCCCTCTGCACCTGTGAGTGATGAGCTTGGCAAGTTTTCTTGGGGCAGAGTTGATGGGGTGGTGGGGAGGCTGGAAATTGGAAGTGAATGGGATGGAACCTGAGTCTGGAGGCTGAGACAGTGAAATAGGGAAAGGAAGAGAGAGATGAAGCCACAGACACTCAGGTCAAAAAGTTCATGAACCAAACCTTTGTAAATCAGGAATGGCTCATTTAGGTTCAAGATGGCGGCCATACTGGCAGTCAACAAATGTGTGGGACTTCCTAGCGATGAGCTGGCCTTCCTTCTTCCAGTACTGTCCTAAAGCAGTGATTCCCAAATGGTATTCCTCCACACACTAGCACTCAGAGATGTAAATGGGTGGGGAGAACAAACGATTCTGCATCACTTTAGTTCGGAAAATGCTGGATTAAACAAAGTGAGCAAATTTCTCTTGTGCTTGGAACCTTAATATGCCAACATATACTGTAACTCCTTAATAGAAGGACTTATCATTTAGTGTTTCCCAGACTTCTTGGGTTTAGGACCTATTTTATTTTATTTTATTTATATAAAAATATGGAACGCTTCATGAATTTGCATGTCATTCTTGCACAGGGGACCATGCTAATTTCTGTATCATTCCAATTTTAGTATATGTGTACCAAACAAGCACTGGACCTTTTTTAAATTTTTATTTAAATTTTTATTTAAAAATTTGTTCTTTTGTAAAGATAGTACAAGCACGTGATAGAAAATTTTAAATACAGGGAAATAAAAGAAATTCATTTATATTTTCATAGCTTTAAAGCAATAGCATTTTGTTTATTTCCTTCCAAACTCTGGATGAATTTTATATCCTAGTGGTCAAGAGCACAGCCTCTTGACACAGACTGAGTTCAAATTCACACTGTATTGCTTACTATCTGTATGATTTAGGACAAGTTACTTAACCTCTCTGTGCCTCTGCCCTCATCATTATAAAATGGAGATATTAATGGTATTGTTAAAAAATTATTCATGACTTTTTTTAAGATTTTATTTATTTATTTGAGAGAGAGAGCATGCATGAGCATGAGTGGGGGGAGGGGCAGAGGGAGAGGGAGAAGCAGCTGGGAGCCCGATGCAGGGCTCGATCCCAGAACCCTGAGATCATGACCTGAGCCCAAGACAGACGCTTAACCAACTGAGCTACCCAGGTGCTCCTCTTGACATTTGTGAAAGAACAGTAAGGCAGATTTTATTTAAGAAGGGACCTACCATAATGAGTTTGTAGTAGAGGAGAGGGATTGGGCTCAACTTTTAACGCAACAAGGAAAAGTGAGAATTTATAGCCAAGGAGCAGGATGGGGTCAGTGGATGGAGGAAACACCCTAGGTGAGGGAAGATTCTAGCTAAACTGACTTAACAGGATTCTTGCTGAGGGCAGATCAGACATTAACTAGGGGATGGTGGAGGCTGAGGACCCAGAACAGATATTGAGGGGCTGAATGGGCTTAACAGGATTCCTGCTAAGAACTGGACTTTACAAAGAAGGACATGGGAACCCCAGATTGGGTGTGGTCAAAAGGAGAGCTCAGAAGAGCCTGCCTAGAGTTTGATCAAGGGGAGAATCTTCATCAGCACCTACCACCTACAGTCATTATGAGAATTTAGAGTGTTTAACAAGTGTTAAAGTGAGCCACCATATTTATTTTACATTATCTTAATCATCCTACATGCATTTTATATCTTTTTCATTTAATGTTTTACCATAATTTTCTTCCACATTGCACATACTTTTTTGTAACTATGATTTTCAATGGCTGCGAAACATTGCATCAGATTGCACTTAACCATTCTTCTATTAGTGGACATTTAAGTTCACCCCAGGTATTTTTTTCCTTTAAATAGCACTGTCCTGAAAATCATGGATATCACTTTTTCATAGTTTATCTTATTGTGAGAATAGATTCCCAGAAGAGGAGTATCAGGGTCAAAGGCTATGAAGTTGCAATTGCTCATGATATGCCAAATGGCTTTCCAAGGGCTTGAATCAATTTATATTTCCAAAGTAGAAGATAAGCGCTTTAAATCACCCTCACCAAATTGAGTCCTGTCATTTTTTAATCAGCAAATTTAATAGGTAAAAAAATTTTTCATTCATGATAAATATGGTTGAGCGTTTCCTAAGTGCAGGGACAGGGTCTCACACTAGGGATGCCGAGATGGAGAACATTGGTTCTGCCTGTGCTCCAGAGGAGGAAACTGGAAACCAAGCTAACATTTAAAACCAGAGGGATAAGTCCCTCCCAGAGTGCAGGGGAGGGACCCTCACCTAGCTTGGAAGTCAGGGAAGGGCTTTCTGGAAGTGGAGGGCTTGAGTTAGTCTTGAATAAAGAATAGTGGTTAGCCATGGAAGGTGGTGGAGGGTGGTTCCATGTGCAGAGGAGGGGTGAGGGGCTGGCACACTTGGAGAACTACAAGAAATTGGGCGTAGGTATGGTTGAAAGAATGCTGAGAGATGAGGGTAGGCCAGGTCAGCAGAGAAGCTGGGTTCCTTTAATGTTACAGTCTTAAAGGTTGTTTGTTTGTTTCTTAATTTGTTTTTGATAATATAAGCAGCCTCAGTAGAACCCTGCAAGAGAGTTGCTCACTGCATATAATCAGATTTACCAATTGGGTCACAGTATTAAAATGTGAAAGGAATTTAGCCATGATGAGTCTTCACTAAATAAAGTTAACCTGTATACTATTAGTGTTGCTGCTTCACTAAGTGAGGTTACCCCTATTGTAGTCCAGGTGGCAGAGCAGTGAGGCTGGCAGAGATGATCTTCAGAGTCTTCCCACTACCCCCACTGCACCCCTTTTTCGTTCTTCTCTTTCCTGGTTTTCTCCACAGGTTTGGGGACCTGCCCCACCCACTTCTCCTTTAAGTAATCTCACAATACCATAGAGAAGGTTGATTGGCCAAGCCCTCTCATACTAAGATGGTAGTGATTAGTTAAGAGGTCCAGCCCTTACCTCTCCAGGAGCATTTGGATTTTAAAGGAGGTCATTTGGAAATAGAAAATCTTGCAAACTCAAAAATCTCCAATGGTTGAATTTCAGGCCATAAGACTGGCCAGTAAGAGAGCTCTTTAAGGCTGGGGGTGGGCAAGAAGTATCTTCTGGGCCTCTTCCATCATCCACCATATTGGAGAGGGTTTGTGCAAGTCCAGGCATAGACATAACCTTGTGTCCCACTGCCCAGGGTTGGCTCTTGCCTTGGAATGTCTCCTTCATCTTGTTTTCTAGGTAGAGTGGGATCAGTGTCCTGGGATAGAATGCACCTTGTGATCAGCTGTCTCTGAAAGCTGGTGGGAATCAGGAAAGTGCCCAGTTGCCTGGCTGGGAGGGAGGGCTTCTATGAAATGGCCACATTTCCATAATCTCAATGTCACCTACATTTTTGCCCTAGCCACCTTGTACATAGGAAAAAAAAAAAAATCTAGGGCAGTGCTCTTTCTCTCACCTCAGGAAAACATTATAATTCCCTCCCAGAAGATTTCCTAGATCTTAAATATCAGCTCAAACATTTATGCATGAAAAATTAGAGGCCATGAATGATTCATGCGTTCTGGAAAGTCTGCTCGTAAATCTCCCCTCCCTCCTTTGCAAAGTCCCAGGATGGCAGCCAAAGCCTCATTTCCAACCCCTATTTCGAAGCCACCTGAGATGAAATTTCCTATTTGTTTCCAACTTCCATGGCCTTTGCATATTCAGCCCTCCCCTGTGGCAGATAAGTCTGCTATTATCTTGTCTGAGATATTGTTCTTTTACTTGACCAGATTATAGCACAATTGTCAGTTTGCTCTTTAATAATACTACTTCACAGGGGATTTGTAAGGATTAATGAAATAATGTTTGAAAACCACTTCCAATTTGTATGCACTCTTTCTTTGGAAGCTTGGGGGTTATTATTTCTTAGTGTTTATACTGTATCTTCCATGTAAGAAGTTTTAAATGCTTTGCAAACATTTGGATCCATTTCAATGAGATGATGAAGCAATTGGCTGTTCGAGCTGGAGGGGCCTTTGAGACGAACTAGCCTTACCTTCAGACTGAGGAGGCGAGAAGCCTGAGGCCGAGAGAAATACCCAGCACAGCAGAGCTGCTTAGTGGCGGAGCCAGGCCTAGAATCTGCTGCCCTGTCTCCTTGCTCAGTTCTTCAAGTCTGATGGATTGAATTGTGCCCCGCCCCAAATTCAAATGTAGCATCTTGGAATGTGACCGGATTTGAAAATAGGGTTGTTGCAGATGTAGTTAATTAAGATGAGGTCCTACTGGAGGAGGGTGGGCTCCTGGTGTCCTTGTAAAAGGGGGAGATCTGGGAACAGGCACACATAGAGGGAGATCATCGTGTGAGCATGAAGACAGCCATCTACAAGCCAAGAAGAGAAGCCTGGAAGGGATCCTTCCCTCAGAGCTCTCAGAAGGAACAAACCCTGCCAAAACACCTTGATTTGGGACTGCTAGCCTCCAGAACTCCAAGACCATACATTTCTACTGTTTGAGTCACCTGGTTTGGGGTACTTCTGTACAGTGGCCCTAGCAAACTAACAAAGTCTTTCTTACCCTTAATTCTAATTATTGCCATTTAGCACATAAGAGATTGAGACAGGCAGAAAGGGAGACATTTGGTCCAAGGCTGGAAAGACAAGTAATGAGCTCAGAAACTCAGCTGCTTGTCCCTGCTCACCCCAGAACTCCTCTTGGGACAGCCGCCCGTGACGACCCCAATTTGATGCCCCTCTGAGGCCCTCAGTGTGGGTGGAGGCACCTGCCACAGCCCATACTGATACTCCTGTGCCCTACAGGCTGCTTCCTGGCATTCCTCCAGCATCCTTCCTGTCCCCAGAAGGCAAGCAGCAGTGCTGAGTGAGGGCAGTAGCCCGGGGACCCCCACTGCATGTTGTTTGACCATCCAGGAGGGGTCTTCAACTATGACGGTTCTAAAAGTTTTCTTGTAAATGAGATGCTAGGAGCTCAGAATCCAGTTTTCTGGGGTAACGCCCACCATACATCAGGGTAGGTTCCCAGGCCCCTTTCTCAAAGCCCATGTGAGTGGTATTGTTCTAGAAGTTGCACACTAGCAATGCTGCTTGCTGTTTGGGAAGTCATGGCGACATTGATGAGGGCTCTTTCAATGGGTTCAAAAAGCTGGCAGGCATACTGGGGGGCTTTCAAGGGAGGAGGTGTGAAAAATGCAGAACCCTCAGAGTTCACACCCTCAAAACAGAGGGAGAGCACTAGGAGCACTAGAACTTGAGGGGTCGGCACCCCAAGGAACGGTTTTAGGAATTTTTTTTTCCCATACTGGGAAAAACCAAGTATATTTGTAAATGAGGAAAGGAGCAAGCCCCATGAGATCACAGATGATCCCAGAGGAGGCCTAGAGAGTTTACGGCATTGGCCTGAGGCCACATGGCGAGTGAGTGGCAGAAGAGGGACTCTTGTCTGCCAGTCCAGGGCTCTCTACTGGGCAAAGACTGTCCAAACTTCAGTCCGTTGTTTCCAAAGCTCCATATTACTCCTGCTCTCATTTACTTGGTATTGTTAGAAGTCAGTTAGCTTTTTTTAAAAAACTAAATATATTTCGGGCGCCTGGGTGGCTCAGTTGGTTAAGCGACTGCCTTCGGCTCAGGTCATGATCCT